TCAAAAAGTTTTCACCAATAGGCATATACATATGAGAATATTATTATAAAATGTATTACATACCTCGTTTCAATGCTATAAAAAACATAGTGTCTTTGAATTGATTTGAAAACTTTTGTCTTGATTTAGGCCAACAAAAACACAAGATTGCTCTACTAGTTAGAGCGCTCGTACTGATAACATGAAATTATACACAAGTATAGAACATAATATGAGAGTGAATTATAAAATTTTATTGCTCATGTATCGTAAGCTTGTACAATACTTATATAGACACCCAAAGTATAGGTTAATAGAACCGCATTAAACTTAATATCATTATACATCAATTATAAAAAGAGAAACCTAAATGAATTGAATATGAACATCCACAACAGATGTTTATTTATATCAGTGAAAACTATATAAATAATTGATAGGCTTTAAGAATATATGTATTTTGGTTATTGAACTTTTAAAACTTATAATATAGACCCTAATTTTAAAAATTGATGTAGCACATTAAAGTCTTAGTATAAAAAAATCCTAAAATAATTTTTCCAAATTGGCATTCATTCACCTCCTTTCACATACTTTGTCACCATTCAATGTTTTTTCAACCATCGTCGCTATTAAACAAAACATCCACCATACTCGGGGACTTCACAACCTTCCCACGATTGTTGAATCATTCATTATCATTACTACATCCAAATATTTAAAGAAATTGGAAGATCTTTCGACGAGTTTGAATCAATAAAAGAAAAGAAAAAGAAGAACAATTTGATGATCCTTTCAATCGAAGAAATTATTAAACGATGATATACACAAAGACGAAAGGAGCCACGATTGCCAATTTAATATATAATTTGAGCACTTAAAAGTATATTAAATTTTTAAAATATTTTTTAATAAAAAATAATAATTATATCTTGTCTTTTCTTGGGTTTGACTATATAACTTCATTTTCGATCATCAGGTGCCACATATGAAATTTTTGTATTTGACCTTATTCCAAATAGGCTGTACGCCACAACAATTAATATTTTATATTTTTTTCTTAGACTACCCTCTGCGGTGCGGCGCCTAAAAAACGGCTAATATAAAGCGTGACCGGTAAAATAAGTGACCGGTTAAAATTTAGACCGGTTATGTTATATTATTTAACCGAAAATATTATAAAGTACAATAACATACTAGGTAGCGCTTATATAATGTAATAGGTAGGCTTATATTTACCTATTTTATAAGTAAACCGGTATATTTATACTGATAGTATTGCAAATTTACCTATTACATTATAATATGTTGAAAGTGTCCATACTTTTTATAAAAAGGATCGATAATTTTTTTAAAGTTATGTAATTTATGTTTCAATTTTTTTTAATAGTGTTTCATGTTTTTCACCTACAATATTAATTTAATAATTTCATTTGCACAAAAAAATATTTGATTGTTTTGATATTTTATAAAATAATATTTAGAATTTAAATTTAACAATATTAACCAAAGATAATAATAAATATTTAATATATATTTTTATTATTTTTAATTTAATAATAATATATATCGTAACGTAAAAAATAAATCATTAGACGCCTATAATTACTAAATTAATATCTTAAAACTCACTCAAAAGATAACCTTAAATTAATGTTTTCCACAATGAAAAAAGTATGGACACTTTTATAAAAATGATAGATACTTTACAACTACCTATTACATTATATAAACGATACCTATTACATTATATAAGCGCTACCTATTACATCATATTTTTACCTATTATATTGAAAGTGTCCATACTTTTTATAAAAAGGATCGGCACTTTTTTTTAAAGTTATGTAATTTATGTTTCAATTTTTTTAATAGTGTTTTATATTTTCCACCTACAATATAATTTAATAATTTCATTTACACAAAAAATTATTTGATTGTTTTGATATTTTATAAAATAATATTTAGAATTTAAATTTAACAATATTAACCAAAGATAATAATAAATATGTAATATATATGTTTATTGTTTTTAATTTAATAATAATATATATCGTAATGCAAAAAATAAATCATTAGACGCCTATAATTACTAAATTAATATCTTAAAACTCACTCAAAAGATAACCTTAAATTAATGTTTTCCACAGTGAAAAAAGTATGGACACTTTTATAAAAAGGATAGATACTTTACAACTACCTATTACATTATATAAACGATACCTATTACATTATATAAGCGCTACCTATTACATCATATTTTTACCTATTATATTAAAAGTGTCCATACTTTTTATAAAAAGGATCGACACTTTTTTTAAAGTTATGTAATTTATGTTTCAATTTTTTTTAATAGTGTTTTATGTTTTCCACCTACAATATTAATTTAATAATTTCATTTACACAAAAAATTATTTGATTGTTTTGATATTTATAAAATAATATTTAGAATTTAAATTTAACAATATTAACCAAAGATAATAATAAATATGTAATATATGTTTATTGTTTTTAATTTAATAATAATATATATCGTAACGTAAAAAATAAATCATTAGACGCCTATAATTACTAAATTAATATCTTAAAACTCACTCAAAAGATAACCTTAAATTAATGTTTTCTACAGTAAAAAAAGTATGGACACTTTTATAAAAATGATAGATACTTTACAACTACCTATTACATTATATAAATGATACCTATTACATTATATAAGCGCTACCTATTACATCATATTTTTACTTATTATATTGAAAGTGTCCATACTTTTTATAAAAAGGATCGATACTTTTTTTAAAGTTATGTAATTTATGTTTCAATTTTTTTTAATAGTGTTTCATGTTTTCCACCTACAATATTAATTTAATAATTTTATTTAGACAAAAAATTATTTGATTGTTTTGATATTTTATAAAATAATATTTAGAATTTAAATTTAACAATATTAACCAAAGATAATAATAAATATGTAATATATATGTTTATTGTTTTTAATATAATAATAATATATATCGTAACGTAAAAAATAAATCATTAGACGCCTATAATTACTAAATTAATATCTTAAAACTCACTCAAAAGATAACCTTAAATTAATGTTTTCCACAATGAAAAAAGTATGGACACTTTTATAAAAAGGATAGATACTTTACAACTACCTATTACATTATATAAACGATACCTATTACATTATATAAGCGCTACCTATTACATCATATTTTTACCTATTATATTGAAAGTGTCCATACTTTTTATAAAAAGAATCGATACTTTTTTTAAAGTTATGTAATTTATGTTTCAATTTTTTTTAATAGTGTTTCATGTTTTCCACCTACAATATTAATTTAATAATTTCATTTACACAAAAAATTATTTGATATTTTATAAAATATTATTTAGAATTTAAATTTAACAATATTAACCAAAGATAATAATAAATATGTTTTCCACAGTGAAATAAGTATGGACACTTTTATAAAAATGATATATATATTTTTTTTAAAGTTATGTAATTTATGTTTCAAATTTTTTAATAGTGTTTCATGTTTTCCACCTATAATATTAATTTAATAATTTCATTTACACAAAAATTATTTGATTTTTGATATTTTATAAAATATTATTTAGAATTTAAATTTAACAATATTAACCAAAGATAATAATAAATATATTTTTCACAGTGAAATAAGTATAGACACTTTTATAAAAATGATATATACTTTTTTTAAAGTTATGTAATTTATGTTTCAATTTTTTTTAATAGTGTTTCATGTTTTCCACCTACAATATTAATTTAATAATTTCATTTACACACAAAATTATTTGATTGTTTTGATATTTTATAAAATATTATTTAGAATTTAAATTTAACAATATTAACCAAAGATAATAATAAATATATTTTCACAGTGAAATAAGTATGGACACTTTTATAAAAAGGATAGATACTTTACAATATAACAAGTAAAAATATGACAAAATCAGATTCATTATGATAAAACCGGTAAAATTTACTTGATATGTTAAAAGTATGGACACTTTTATAAAAAGGATAGATACTTACCGATAACCAAAGTTTACCGGTTACCAAATTTTTTAATAGTTTTTCATATTTTCTACCTAAAACATTATTAGTTGTCAACATAATAGGTACCGCTAAACCGAATTTATTAAATACATTTTAATGTATCCGGTACTGCCGTATATTAGCCGTGTATTAACCCGCATTTCCTGAGACAATCCCACCCGACTGGCCCTCGTCTTAGAATATAAAAATTTGTCAAGAGTAAACAGACAAATGGGGCATTAATGTCAAATTAATGACCAAACTATCAAAGCACATTTTTTAACCTAATATATAATTACTTTTAACTAAACCTCGATTGAAATTATTTAATCACAAAGAAGTTTCTCCTTCCATTTTTTTGGATAAATTATGTGTTTAGTATCTAATTTATTAGTTTTTATCCATTTTAATACTTAAATTTTTATTTTTTTTAAAACTATATATAACATTTAGTTTTTATTTCATTTTATTTTGTCATTAAAAACTTAAAGGACGGACTCGTTGACCGCAACATCAACAGTTGTCTGTCGTCGTATCTGTCTGCTGATGAAGCCTAAACTTTCTAACTCGCACTTTTTCGATCGCATAAACGCGATTTCAGTCTAAACTTTTCACTCTTTCCTTCAATCTCTCAAAATCGATGATAAACTTTTTAATTTTTCATCTTTCGATCTCCATAGTCCACCTTCTGATGACCTGAAACTGAACTATATTAATATGCTTGTCATTTTCTCATGATTCACCATTTATATTGATCATTCGTCCACTAAAACTATGCCACATAAGCCCAAAATAATGAGGGCATTAATGTCAAATTAATGACTTTTCCTTCTGCCCAAAGCACATTTTTTTCACCTAATACATAATTACTTTTAACCAAACCTGGATTAAAATTATTTAATCACAAAGAAGCTTCTCCTTCATTATTTTTTTACTGGGATAAAATAACATAAAATATGAGCAATCTCTTTCCGCCAGAGAGACTGTTACAACTTACAACCTTGCAAATGGAGAGCTGAGAGAGAGAGAGAGAGAGGAGAATGAGAACAAGGTAAGAGCTCCTATTTAGATCTGCACTCTTTCTAGGCTTTCTTGTTTCTGAGTTCTCTGACTCGGTTCCACTCGTGTTGAACCAGCTCGCTCTCTTTAGCTGAACTCCACGTGTAGACTGCTGCAACTGCCTTTGTTTCTTCGTGTGTACTTGCATTTTGATTGGGTTTCCGGCAATAGATCGAGCGATCGATTGAATGACGGGTTTCCGGCGGGATTTTCCGGACATCAGGTGAGATTCCGGGAATTCCGGCGATTTTTGCGGCGAAAATGTTTAAGTCGGCGAGATGGAGGAGCGACAAGAACAGGACCAAAGCTGTGTTCATGTTGCAGTTCCATGCAACTCAAGTACTCTTATTCTTTAAAATTCTTCTTCATTTTTCCAAAATTTCATATCCATTGAAGATTGTCTTTAAATTTATTTATTTACTCATATTTCTTCATTAGCTTAACTTCTCATAAAATGCAGCTAAAATTTAAGAAAGAAATTGATTTTTTTGCTGGAGCAGCTTGAGCTATTATATATATATAATATTGAAAAAATATTGTAATGTAATTGAATAATTTGAATGTTATTGAAATATTAATAGTTTTATGTTTAATTTAGGTTACCCAGTTGAATGTGCAAGCATTGATGATATCGGTGGTCCCCGGCGATGGCGGAAAACCAAGAACAAAATTAGAAAAGGCGACAGTTCTAGACGGTAACTGTCGGTGGGAAAATCCTGTTTACGAGACTGTTAAATTTGCTCGGGATCCAAAGACGGGGAAGATCAATGAAAGAATCTACCATTTTATTTTATCTACAGTAAGACATTTTTTTGGATGAATTCTTTATTTTTCTTTGACGGAACGAATTTATGTTTTTGATGTGGAGTGTGTGTTTTTAAATGAGATATTATATATGATTGTTGTAGGGATTGGGAAAAGCAGGCTTGCTTGGGGAAGCTTCAATTGATTTTGCTGCTTATGCTGAAGCAATTAAAACTTCGACCGTTTCTCTTCCGTTAAAGAATTCCAACTCTAAAGCAATTTTGCATGTGAGTATACTCTAAAGCAATTTCCTTAAATCTTTCCTCATACTTTATGTTGATTGAAGTTTTAAAATTGAATTCGAACTGTTGGATTTGACCAGGTCTTGATACAGAGGCTGCAGGAAAATGCTGATCAAATGTATTCAATTTTCATTGAATTCTTGTAGTTATTGGATGTTGTTTCAGAGTCTGAAGCATTTGGTTTTGACGTTGAATTTTTGTTTGATCATTATTGCAGAGAGGTGGAAGAAATTGAGGGTGCAAGCATTAAATCGCAAGACCGGAACTTGAAGGCTGATGAACGCATTAAGAGTGATACTATTGAAGTAAGTCTCCTATTCCATTTAGCAAATGCGTTCATTTTCGGTTTTCTTCTTGTTGCTGTTTGAAAGTGGATTTGCATGTTTTACTTGTTTTTTTTCTTTATCATCTGTTTGACAGGATGTGCCTTTCAGCAGAGGATCAAATGGATCCGATATTACCATTTCAAGTTCTGATGGCATCTCTGGGCTTAACACTCCAGGAGAACTTGGAATGAGAAACAACAACATCAATCAGGACCCTCCTACTTATCTGTCACCTATGAATAATGCCTCAGTTACTCCCAAGCCAACCTCAATTACCTCAACAGCAATCTATGAGGAGTGGTCAGCAGGTTCTGATCTTGGAACGGGTACTGATGACTCTAACAGTTCTCAGGACACCTTTCCACGAGAAAATTCCCAACATGGGTCTGATAATGAGACTGGAAGACTCAAGAATGAGCTCATTGCTTTGTCCAGACAAGTGGATGTGTCAGATATGGAATTACAGGCTCTTAGAAAACGAATTGTAAAGGAGAGCAAAAGGGGGCAGGATCTCTCAAGGGAAGTTGTTACATTGAAAGGAGAGAGAGATGCACTCAAATTAGAGTGCGAGAAGCTGAAGACCTTTGAGAAGGTAATGAATGATGCAAAAGTAAAAAGCAGGTTGCAGTTTGAGAGTGGGGACCCATGGGTTCTTGTTGAAGAAATCAGACAAGAGTTGAATTATGAGAAGGCCTTGAATTCCAATCTTCATTTACAACTGCAGAAGACACAGGAATCAAATGCTGAGTTAATGCTTGCTGTACAAGACCTAGAAGAAATGTTGGATGCAAAGAAGATGGAGGTCCCCAATCCTCCCAAGAAATCAGAATCCCATGGTAGTCCTGAGGAATTGGGAGTAACCATCTCAGGATGCCACTCAGATGATGATGATGAGCAAAGGGAATTAGAACAGCTCGTTAAAGCGCACAATGACAATAGTGAAACCTCTCTCCTTGAACGAAAGATCATGGACCTCTACAGACAGATAGACGACTACAAAAGAGATAAAGATGAGCTTGAGGCACAAATGGAGCAGCTAGCACTTGACTATGAGATACTGAAGCAGGAAAACCATGACATGTCCTACAAATTAGAGCAAAGCCAACTGCAAGATCAACTACATATGCAGTATGAGTGCCCGTATTCCCTTGCTAACATAAATGAACTTCGGGCCCAAATTGAGTGCTTGGAAAGTGAACTCAACAAGCAGTCAAAAGAATTCTCTTACTCCTTAACTACCATAAACAAACTAGAAACCCACATCAAAAACTTGGAGGAAGAGTTAGAGAAACAGGCACAAGTATACGAAAAGGATCTAGAATCTATCATACAAGCCAAAGTTGATCAGGAGCAAAGAGCTATCCGAATTGAGGAAGCCTTGCAAATGACAAGATGGAAGAATGCTAATACAGCTGAAAGTCTGCAGGAGGAAGTTAAAAGACTCTCTATGCAGATGGCCTTTACATTTGATGCAAATGAGAAGGCAGCTACAAAAGCTCTGACGGAAGCTAGTGAACTACGGTTGCAGAAAAAGGAGCTAGAAGAACTGCTCAAGAGAACTAAAGAAGAGCTCCAATCGGTTACGGAAGATTATGAGACAAAACTCCGTAATCTTTCTAACCAAGTAAATTTAAAATCAAACCAGATAGAACAGATGTTGGAGGAAATTGATGATAAATCCAAGCAGCTTGAACGCCAAAAGAAGCATGAGGAAGAAGTTAGTGGGGCTTTTTTCCAGGTGATCCACAACCTAAAAGCTGAGATTAACAAGCTGACTACACAAAATAAATGCCTCCATGAACGAGCTCAACTGGCGAAAAAGTTAGGACTGGGATTGGAAGACACTAAAGCATTCCCAGAAGAAATTGAAGTGCTGAATCAAAGAGGAAATTTAGAAAGAAATGAGCTGGTTGGTACAATTGCTTTGATGGAAAAGGAAATAGCTAAATCACTGGAGGAATTGCAAAGGATGAGGCACCAGAAGGATAAAAAAGAAGCTGCAGCTGAATCCTTGCAATCAGAGCTGGACACCCTGAAAACTGAATGCACTAAATTGAGAGAGTCTATGTTTGAGGATGAAGTAGAGAAACAATCGCTCAGAAAGCAAGTAGTTAAATCAAAGGATGACATTAAGATGGAAGATGAAATTACTGGCATGGAAAAGAAGCTGAAAGAGAGCAATGGAAGAGCAGCAATTTCTGATGGAACCAAAACACTATTAGAAAATGACAAATCTCCCTTGATACTTTGCAGTCCTACTGAGATGACAAGCCTAAGAGACAAAATAATGTTGCTTGAGGTAAATTTGCACATTCAAGTTTTATCTAAAATCAAGTTCGTCTTTGAAACTGTTTGTAGCATTGTTTAACATCTGCTTTTTCTAGTAACATGGAAATCCCTTTTGTTCTGTTTCTTCCTTATTATTCTGGAGCAGAGTGTGAAGAAGGAGAATTTGCATTCATAATGATTTTTTCCCCTTCTCTCATGGCAGGGAGAAATAAAGTTGAAGGAAACTGCTTTAGATACATCAACAAATGCCTTTTTGGAAATAGAGAAGGATCTTCATAAGAAAATTGATGAGTTAGAAGGCAGAGTAGAAGAACTCAATGAGCACAGCACCAGTTTCTGCAAATACCAATTTCAAAAGGTCAGAAGCATTGTACCATGATTGAAAAGAAGTTAAAGAACTCATTTAGGGGAAGTTCTGTAATATTAATGAACAAATATTTTGGACATAAGATGTTTCAAGTTTCAACATTCTTATGGCATCTTGCTAAAATATTAATTTATGATACCACTCTTGACCCTAACTATTGTTTGGTTACGCCTAGAACAGCTCAATGCGAGTTCTTATAAGTAAGGACTGGTTTACTTTGCATTCCCATTTTGGTTTCATTGTCAACTATATCCTTTATTACATTCAATATTACCTCTAGTTTTGACTTATATTTTCTTTTAAATGAATGCAAAATGCAGACATGTAAAGATTCTATGGATACATCAAATGACATTATCTCAGTGCCTTTTGTGAAAAGGTAAGACCTGAATATGTAGAACTTTAGTCTCCGAGTCTGTTCTTTTCTTGCACCTTTTCCACTATTCTTCCTTGAAATAGTTAGTTGAGGGAATAAATACTAAGAAGAGTGTTGAAGAAACCAAAGAACGGGGAAAGTAACTAACTAACAATTACTTTTATTGATATCTCATCTGCAGCACTGATCACAGTTTGTCGGAGAAAGAACCAAAGACATCTATTGTCAATAAAGACAGTGACCGGGATGAATTGATAGCTGAACTAGCATCATTAAAGGAAAGAAACGAAACAGTGGAGAATGAATTGAAGGATATGCAAGAACGATATTCCGAGATAAGCCTCAAATTCGCAGAGGTGGAAGGTGCACGACAACAGCTTGTGATCACCGTGCGTTCTCTAAAAAATGCCAAGAAATGATGGAAACATGAAGGTAATGAAATCTTCCTACACAAAAACAGAACTTATAGTTTGAAGTAGTAGGTTGGATAATCTAGGTGGTGACAATTTCTATTTAGGGTTGAATAAATTAAATTGTACAAAAATGGACGGTTCGTTTTTAATTACCAAATGTAGTCAAGTTTTTGTTTGATTATTCAGGTTTGATTCTTGTTCTACCCCACGGTTTTTTTGTTGTTGTCACGGTGACGATTTTTATTAATATAATTATTTCATTTTTTTAATTAAAAAAATGCTATGGGTTGGCCGGATCTGAATGGATTTTTTGTTCTATTCAAGAAGACATTCACATTATTTGGTTGTCCTTAAAAATATGTGAAGTAGTGTGGTAGAGTCTGAATCTGGCCCTTGTCATCCAAATTATAGAATCTTTTCTTTGGATGGTGCGAATTATTCAATTGTTTCCTGCCAAAGCAACCCACTTTTTCACGTTGGGAAAATAATTTAGGCATGATGCCAAAAATAGCCCCCCAATTTTTACCAAAATAGTCATTTTGGCCCCAACGTTTCACTTTGGGACAAAAAAACTCCCTCTATATGAAAATTGTTAGTTAACACACCATTAATGCTCCAAAATAGGAGTTTTTTTTAAAACGTAAAATAAAACGTTGAGGGCTAAAATGTCCCAAAAAAGAATAAGGAACAAAGTGATTATTTTGTCAAACGTTATGAATCTATTTGCCCTAGAATGAAACGTTAGGGGTTAAAATGGTATAAAAAAATAATATAGAGAGCAAAATGATTATTTTAGTAAATGTTGGGGCTAATTTTAACGTTATGCCAACAATTTAATCCATTCTTTTATAATTATTGGTCCTTTTTATTTTGTAGGCTATGGGCACCAATGTTTTGTAAACCACAAGTTCAACAATGGAGTAAAATTTTCATTGGTCTGAGCTAGGTTTTATTAAGTTTGGATTGGACATTGAATGTGGGGTGTCGTCGTTGTAGTAGGGATGAGCAAAAAATTAATTTTTTCGATCGATTCGATTTGAAAAAACTCAACTCAAATTGACTTTGAGTTGTAATTTTATAAATTCAACTCGAAAAAAATTCAAGTTCAAATCGAGATGTAAAATACAACTCGAATAACTCAAAACTTTTAGTAATTAGTGAATTGATTTTTAAGTTTGAGTTGATTCTCTCCACTCTGTATGATATATGTATATCATATATGAAAAAATATGAAGATATATAAATATGAATTGTATATGGTTATAAAAGACCATTTAAATTGAAATAAATTAATATCATAATATTATAAATATTTACAATTAAATTTAAATAGAAATTCGAGAATTTGACTCGACCCGACTCGAATTAAACTCAACTAGACTCAAAAAAAATTCAGGTCAGTTTCGAATATTAAAACAGAACTCTTCAACTCAAATAACTCAAAAATTTTTAACTTGATTTTACTCAATCGAACATTCATCCCTAACTTCAAACAAGGAAATTTCACATAACAAAATATTGCACAAAAGAGTGGGCTCCTCGGAGCCAGGCCTGGTCAGCAAGCTCGACGTTTGCAAAATTTCAATTTTCAGCTTCCCGGTTGCTGGATGTCATTTCTTTCACTGGATAAAAAATAGAAGGGTTAATTACATCATTTTCACTAAATTTTACTATCTTATTTTACTCACTGTATTTTTAATTTTTCTAATTTACTCACTAAACTTTCGAATTGCTCCTATTTTGATTACTATGTCGTTAACTATTTAGCGGTGTTATGACATGACATAGGCACCAAAATGACGTCGTTTTGAAAAACTCAAATATGCACCAAAATAACATTGTTTCGAATCTTTTATAAAATTCTATTTTTCTTCTTCATTTCTTTTTTTTCCTTTCCCCCCATTTTCTCTCTAGTTTGCAAATAAGCTGACCGATTTCCGGCCGACCACCACATCATTTTTCACTCCGGCTACTGTCTACCGTCGATGGTGACCGTTGAATCCCAAATTTTTCATGTAAACTATTTTCCATCTCCTGAACATGAATCTGACGTCATTTTCACCCAAAAAAAAATCCCAAAGGTGATGGATCTAAGCCAAAACTCTATGGTTTCGTTTATTTCTGAACGTCTTCCTTGCCATTAGATCAATGCCAAATTAAGATATGGCGGTGTTCTCATTTTCGTCCATATCTCTTTCTTTTGTTCTTCATTTTGTTCTCTTTTTTTCTATCTTTTTGTATCGTTGATGACTGTGATATTGTGTGTTTGTTTCAATATTTGAGTTGGTGTTTGATTTTATAGTGAGGGATTGAAATGATTTTTGGGTGTGTTATGGTTTTTGATGTTAGTGAACTAGAGGTGGTTGATAGAGTGAGAAGAGTGAAATGGTGGGTGGTGGTGTTTTTACGGTGGTTGTGGGTTTAGAGATTCTTTTTATATTGCTTTGAGTTCAAACAAAAATGGTAAATTTAGATCGAAAGCGGTGAATGATCAGAGACAACAGACGACAGAGGGTAGTCGGTAGATTGAAAATTTTAATGAGAAGGCATCACATATTATACTAATAAAAAAAGGGTTAACTACATGGTTGATCATTTTCGTTTATGTTTTGTCCACTTTTGCTCACTGATTTCAAAAAAACATAATATACAATTACTTTCGTTTTTATTTAATTAAAATATGGTCATTGAAGGTTAATTGTCTTAATGGATTGCTGACATGGTACGTTAATAAAAATGTTTAATTTTATTTTTAACCCCTGAACTTTAGATAAAATTTTAATCTAAGGATAAGTTTTAATTTACCCATTTCTCTTAATATGTTTTCTTCTTCCCAAGCTTTAGCTCAGCAATCTCTTCGCCTTCCCCCGAGGTGTTGCCGTTGCGTTCTGCTATTTGAAGCACTGGTTTCGTCTATGATCGAAGTGAATACCGGAGCTTCGACTTCCCTGCACTCCCAGAAATATCACGTAAACAACAAAGGAATAATTAAATTGAATCATTATGAAATTTATTTCTAAAAATAAAAATAAAATAATGATAAGTCCCAAATTATAATAATTTGACCAAAAAAACTGACTCAAGAACATAAAGCTGCAAGACAATTGACTATGGCATTGTTTCTTCCAATTCGTAAAAGGTGTTGAACATATTAGCAGCCGGCGGCTTTTATTATGGTAAAAAAGAGGGCTGCTAAGGGGGGCTGTTAAGGGGCAATTTTTTATTATTTTGTAATAGGGATAATTACAAAATTGAGTCATTGAACTTTAGGGTATTTTCAAAGATTAGTCCCTAAGCTTTAACTATAAATACCCTAGCTCATTTAGCTTCAAAATCATCCCAAAAATAATTTCTTTCTCCCATTACTAGAGAGATTTCTTGTGAGTATTGAGTGTTTTGTAAAAACCTGTAAATTTTCTCTCTTAGTAAAAGATCTGCAGTCCGGAGACGTAAGCAAAATTGGCTGAACTCCGTTATCAATTTCAGGTATTATTTTTCCGCTTTTATTTTGCATTCTCACTAATATGATTATAGGGAAATTACTCGTTCTCGTTTTATTTCCCAACAACTGGTAATCAGAGCTTTTGGTTGTGAATTTTATCAATTTTTTGCGAGGTTGCTATTCATTACTATTTACGTGAATAGTGAATTTCGTGAATGGTGAAATTTTGTCGGCGATACGAATTTGTTGACGAAGGTGTTCTAATACACGGTGGTTCACAAGAATTGTTAGAAACGATCCAAACGAAGCCAGATTCGAGTGGGAGCGATGGCTGCAGACGAAAGGAAGGTGAAAATTAAAATGTTCGATGGTGCGGACTTTGGCTTTTGGAAGATGCAGATTGAAGATTTTCTGTACCAGAAAAATCTATATCAACCTCTCTTAGGAAAGCAACTAGAGGGCATGAAGAGTGAAGACTGGGCTCTTCTTGACAGACAAGCCCTCGGAGTTATCCGACTGACGTTATCCAATAATGTTGCTTTCAACAAAGCAAAGGAAAAGACCACGGCGGGTCTTGTGGCGGCTCTCTCCAATATGTATGAGAAGACATCGGCCTCAAACAAAGTTCATTTGATGAGGCGATTATTCAATTTGCAGATGACAGAAGGGGCATCAGTGACTCAACACCTGAATGAACTCAACACAATCACAACCCAGTTGAGTTCCGTGGAAATTGAATTTGATGATGAAGTTTGAGATTTATTTCTCTTATCATCTCTACTAGACAGTTGGAATGCTACTATTATAGTAGTCCGCAACTCGTCTGGAAACAGCAAATTGAAATTCGACGATGTTCGAGATCTGGTATTCAGTGAAGAAATTCGACGGAGAGAATCGGGTGAAGCATCAACTTCCTCAGCCTTGCACACAGAGTCTAGAGGGAGAACTTTAGAAAGAAATTCAAATCATGGCAGATCCAAATCCAGAAGGGGAAAATCAACAACAGGAAAGAAAAATTATACTTGTTATAATTATGGCAAGAAGGGTTACTTTAAAAGAAATTGTCGAGCATTGAAGAAAGATATCGGTGCACAGGAATCTGCCAACATGACAGAGGAGACAGGTGATGCCATGATTCTAAGCGTCAACAGTCCAATTGAATCATGGATCTTGGATTCAGGGGCATGTTTCCACTCCACTTCATGCCAAGAAATCATGGAGAACTATGTCAGTGGTGATTTTGGGAGGGTTCATCTAGCTGATGATGAAACCTTGAAGATCGTCGGAAAAAGAGACATCTGATTAAAGTTGCCAAACCAAACCACCTGGACGCTGAAGGGAGTGAGACATATTTCTGGCCTCAAAAGAAATTTGATTTCTGTAGGACAGCTTGATAGAGAAGGATATAACACAACCTTTTCAGGCTGTGAATGAAAGATTACCAAAGGAGCACTCGTCATTGCTCGTGGTAAAAAGACTGGTACTCTCTATGTAACATCAAATTTAGAGAATATCATTGCTGCAGTAGATGCTAATGGAAAATCAAACCTATGGCACCAAAGGCTTGGTCATATGAGCAAGAAAGGGATGAAGACACTTTTGTCAAAATGGAAGCTTCTAGATCTAAAGAATGTAGATGTCGGACTATGCGAGGATTGCATCTTTGGTAAACAAAAGAAAGTCAGTTTTCCAAAGATTGGCAAGACACCCAAGGCAGAAAAGTTAGAGTTGGTTCATACTGATGTATGGGGACCATCTCCA